AAAACAAACTTTATCAACTTTTCTTGTAGCAACAAAACATACAGTACTTGTAAAACCTAATATTATTTAACCCTCCAAGTGTCTCTAGTTTTGGTCTTAATGTTCGCCCATTTATTGCGCAATCGCAGGGTTTTATTAAAATGTATCTTAGAAACTTAAAAACAATGTAAGGTATACTGTTTTATATATCATTTTGTTTGGAAAATTATGAGTTTCAATGTAACATATAAAACATTACAAAAAAAATGTTTAACAATTTTTGTTTCTCAAAAATTATTAAATAAATGAAAAAAATTTATGTTTGCGCTCAATAAATTGTTATAATTTATAGGTCTACAAATATTTTAAAATAGCCACTTTGTTCAGAATTTTATGGGGATTCCAAAAATATAATAATATAAGGAAGTAGATTTGCAAATAAATAAGTTATGGGCAAAAAACAAATTTCAGTACATAGTGTTTAGCTAAGAATGCATAGCCTAACCATAGCTAGGAATCTGGCTGATAATTTACATCAATATCACTACCTACTTCTTCAGGATCATCAACCAGCCCTTCAAAATCACTTAAATCTTCTTATAATGCACCACGTACATCAGTCATCGGTGCGAGGTTAACCAAGCTGTTTACAAATACGCACGTCAGCTGTCTGCTACAATTATGATCGGCTCGAGAAAAAAAAGCGCTTAGAGACAGACCTCGGGAGAAAGCTTAGAATCTGCCAAATAAAACGATACCTAACTCGATCCAGTTCAATCCGATTTTGTCAGTCATAGAGCCTTCGCCGTAAACAGTGTTTGTGAGTCGAAAAATTGACACAAAACACTACACAAAGTTGGGACAAAATGTGACATGTTTAATGAAATATTCTAGAGAATATCCACAGGTTTGCTGTGGCTGGGGTAGTATGTTTTATAGTGATGATCGGATCTGGATATCGGACTACCGGATCTGAGGTAGAACCGATGCCTGATCGGATCCACAAAAAATCGGATCTTGGGCTGGATCCGGTTTTGATGGATCCGATTTTTTTATTTTTTATTATTATTTTACCAACACAAAACGTTTTTTATAAAGTACAATTCATACATAAGAACAGGTGTTTCGTCATAGTGATGTATTTTCAAACAAAATTAATAGTTAAAATAATTAAAATAAACTCCATATAGAAGACTGTCAGTGTCCATGTACAAGACTATCTGTGTCTCCATATCTATATCCATGTAGAAGACTAAAAATCGGACCTTGGGCTGGATCCGGTTTTGATGTATCCGTTTTTTTAATATTTTGTTTACTAACACAAAACGTACTTTATAAAGTACAATTCATCCCCTAGAACAGGGGTTTCTTTATAATGTATTTTAAAATAAAATTAATAGTTAAAATAATTAAAACAAACTCCATGTAGGAGATTATCTGTGTCTCAATATACAAGACTATCTGTGTCAATATACAAGACTATCTGTTTCCCTGTACAAGACTAAAAATGTAAAGAGATACCGTTTTGGTGGTCGTGCAAACTTAGCAGGAAGTTTCATTTCATGATTTTGAAAATTTTAAGGGTCCACCGAAAATAAGGGATATTGCTTAGCCATATAATTTATAGACGTCAACATATATTCTGTGACATTGCCTAGCCATTATAAGCTATATTATTCTATATCTTATTACATCGACCTTTAAACATTACCAATTTAATTTAAAACAGTATGATTTAAATTGGATTTCTGTAAATATAATTTTTTTTTTACTCTTTTGACAGTACATATCTGGATCCGGATCCGGTACCGACATTTTATTGGATTCGCCCATCACTAATGTTTTATTATGTTTTAAATTTGACTCTGCGAAACAGATGAAATATTAACAGATGTGATTTTAATGAAACTAAGAGGTACAGTTGAAAGTGAACACTGATATCACTCATAGATGAGTGCAACTGTTCTCTACAGTAGATTCAAAGAAACACATATTCTGTCTCTCACCCATCAGCAAAGCATGGGTGAATCAACTGGTAGCACATGAACCAAGGGCATTCTCCTGACTATTGAAAACATATAACAACTAAAAGTATATTCTGAGAAAATAACAATAGTGAATTGTTTTAATACACTCAAGCAAAGCAACTGACCAAGCAAATTTACAAAGTCTTATGCAGTTTTTATTCAAACAGATCAAATCAAACGCACCTGGCAAAACGAAACAGAAATATTTCTGTGGCACAACACTTCCTCCTCCATAAAAAAATCTAGGATAAAAAGAGTTGTTACAATATTCTGTTTAATCAAATTTATGAATTACATACACGTGTGTACATATTACAAAACAAGATTAAAAGCGTCTAAATTAGTTTGACTAGTTATATGGCCACCCACATTTTATATATATAAAATTTTAAATAAGTAGGTATCAACTAAAGGTCCCACATATAAACAAATTGAGCAAACTACACTCTAAAATTACCGTAGAAAAACTTATCTTCATACTATTGCCCAGCATTCAAACTATTCCACTTCAAAATGTAAAAAAAAAAAAAAAACACACACACTATGATAGGACGCGTTGCAGAAAGTCAACAGTCCCGGAAGGTCAAATAATTTATACATGTGCCGCTAGGTCAAAAACTACAATGTTTGCAGTGTCTGTAGATCAAAAATCCCAGTAAGTCAAATAGTACAGTCCGGGCTAAAAACGTAGTCTATGTTAAAGCAATTGACTTATTGGGAATTTGACCTAATGCAACAGCAGTTTTAATATAACGAAATAAGATAAAATATAAGTTCAGTTTCGCTGAGTCAACAGTGCCGGAAGGTCAAAAGTATAATCTGTTAAAAACAACGATAGTCCTCTCGACGCATGACTTCAATAATTTCGTGTTTTGGTGTACTTAAAGTTGTGCTAAAATTTTGAAATTTGGCACAGAGCTTCTTGGTTAGTCCTACTCAATGACTATTTTGTTGGAACTTTAAACTATTTACCGATCTAATTAATAAAAATTGAAAAATGTATGGTGAAATAGTTTTAAATCGTGATTTCTAACATGAAAAAGTTAGCATGCGAGATTTTTTTTTTGTTTTTGGGTTAGAGAGGTTTTGTCTGTGGCAAAGTTGTAGCTAAAAGTGTGATGCGTAAAATATATATTTTTTAAATTTTTTACAATCAGTGGTTCAATAGATAACTTGATAAATAGATAAATTAAAATACATCATGTAACTCCTAAACAAGTAGGTTTATAGCAAAAATGCGAAGAGTAAAAAAGTCTTACAATTGCATCCACATTCCAAAAAAGACCATAAAATTCATTAAAAATATGAATTATATTATTTTAAAAATGGCGGCAAACTTGAAAAGTGGAAAACTTTTTATTTTATAGTCTTTAAGGAATGTAGATGCAATTCTAAGACGAATTTACTTTCTGCAATTTTGCTCTAAACTTACTCGTTTAGGAGCTACATGATGTAAAATGTACACCGGAAGTCATTTTTCCATAGGCTGTACTCCTAAACGAGTGGGGTTATCGAAAAAATGTCAAGGATAAAAAAGTTTTAAAATTGCATATTCTATCCGAAAACATGATAAAAAAACTAAAATCATATTTTTAACTGCCACAAAAAATAAAGGAATGTCCCCCATTTAAAGGTTTCTCTAATTCTTACCATTTCCGATTTCCCAATGGTGGCCTCCTTGAGTCGATCACCCTGTATATATGAATTTGAACGGATGGTATTTTTGGCCTCTAGGGACCTCAAAACTAAAAATTAAATCGGTCCCGGGTCCAGGTGTTTAGTGGCTTATTCCCTATATGGAAAATTCACCAAAAACCTAATAGTTATATAGAACAATATTACATTCAACCAGCTGTTGGTTAAAACAAATTATATGGGACTAAAACAAATCAATGATTACAAAGATTCCTTTAAAAATTAATTTGAACATCCTACTAGTTTACTATGCATATTTAATTAATCTGCCATCCTCATACCTAAGAATTGAATGTATCAATGGTCAGCATTACACATAGTATAAATAAGTCAACTCTAAATATGTCTTTAAATTTGTGTCACATATGCTGAATGTTTACAGCTGTTATGTTAAGCAAATTATATTGAACTAAAAGCTAGCTTAGAAGGTTAGCGTCGGCTGCTAGACTTTAAAAAAATTAAAACTTAATTTCTAAAAAACTGGTACCCTTAATTATAATTATGGCTTTGACATTCCCTGGTTCTCAAAATTATCTTTCTTTCAACACAAAAATAATGAAAATCCGTCGACTGGTTGATTCAGAATGTGAAAAAATCCCATTTACGTTTTAATAAATATATATGATAGTTTGGACAGGTTTCAACCCTTCCGAGGTGTAATACGTTTACACAGTTTATGTGTAGACTACATTATAACTCATAAAATAGTTCTAAAATTAAATGGATCTCCTTTTACAAACGTATATAATAACCAGAAATTTTCAAATCGCCCTTGCGTGTATTTCATGCCACAAATTTTGACGAAAGGCTTTTTATTACATAAACTATACCTATTTACAGTGTTGACCAAACAGTTGGCAAGAAGCATTAATAGATAAGCTATGTACCAAATATGATAATTTTAGCTTTATTCTAATTATGACAAAACACGAAGTAACTAAAAGCGAGTTTTGTTGGTGTAGTAAGCGTTGCAGGAGGTCTACTTTATACTGAATCGACGTTCACTTTTATTGCTTTTGATCTTCCGGCACAAATTTTTGACAGCGCTTTTGACTCAGCGAAACTGAACTTGTATTTTACCGTATTTCTTTATATTAAAACTGCTGTTGCATTAGGTCAAATTCCCAATAAGTCAATTGCTTTATCATAGACCACGTTTTTAGCTCGGACTGTACTATTTGACTTACTGGGAATTTTGATCTACAGACACTGCAAACATTGTAGTTTTTGACCTAGCGGCACAGGTATAAATTATTTGATCTTCCGGGACTGTTGACTTTCAGCAACATTCCCCTATGATAGAACTTATTTACATATTTGCTGTGTTAGTGTTGACAAATCAAGGTAAATATTTACATGTGAGCCCCAGGTTTTGGCGATAGATTAGGTTAAATTAAGTGTTTGTTTTTTTAATTTAACATACTGACATTGTTAAGCACACAAATACCATTCATATGAATATTATATGAAACTTCTTTTAAGAAATCGGTCAATTGCTAAACGACACAAAATATATTTTAATACTGGACACTGGAGCTATACCCAGGGCCGATTTACCGAATAGGCACAGTAGGCACATGCATGGGGCGCAAGGCAATTGGCTTTTTTGGAGGGCGCCAACAAATTGGAGAGAAAAATATTTATTCTAAAATATTACATTTAGAAAAGTATTTTGTGGTTGTATTTGCATACGATCGTGTTAAAACTCTGATAATCCCTCGCGGTCGTGTAGACATCATAATATTTGTCTCCCCCAATTGCGGCAAAATTCTGACTATTTTCTGCTGTCATGTAGACATAATTATCGTCTTCCATGATCGCGGAAAAAAATGAATATATCCCGCGGTCGTCAGGAGATTATCATCGTCTACTTGCGAATGAGGCAAAATTCTGATCTTTTCCCGCGGTCGTGTGGACATTATTGTTGTCAAATTGTGATCACCCCTCGCGGCCGTGAAGACATCATTATATCGTCCCCAGCCGCCCTGCGGTCGTGTGGACATAGTAATAGCCTCCCGCGTTCATAAAGACATTGTATTCTTCTCCCGCGATTGCGGCAAAATGTCAATCATATGACGCAATCGTGTGGAGATCATCATCGTCTTCCGTGATCATGAAAAATTGTGATTATCCCTCGCGGCTGTGTGTAGGGATATTATCGCCTCCCGCGGTCACGGAAACGTCACAGTTGTCATGCGCAATGGCGGTAAATTGAAAATTCCAGGTAGAAATACAAAATTCACGCATAATTCCCTGTAAAAAAAACCTCACGCATAGTTCCCGGATTTTCCGGTTGGTGGATACCCTGATATATATAATGCAAAGGGGCGCTACTATTAGTTGTGCCTAGGGTGCCGACAGGGTCAAAAACGGGCCTGGCTATACCACTTATCTTTCATTTAATTCAAGAGATTTGAGTGTAGAAATGCAAAAATGTTCTCTTTGTGCAGCTTAAAATGTCCATTTTTTTTTTATAAAACTGGTATTGATTCCTTTAATGATAACAGATAATTGAATGTTAATACCATTCTTTTAAACCTTAAAAATGTTGAATTTAATTCAGGACAACTATAAAGATATGTTTAATGTAAAAAACTATTGGCTGTTGAAATATAACTGCTAAACATACCCATACATCATGCTTTCTCATTTGTCATAAATTAGTCATAATGAAATTCAACAATAAAAATTAAACTAGATAACAGCATCTATGTGAAAGTGTAGGTAATTAACTCATAGTTAAAATATTTACACACATATATTTACAATAGAACTATCTGTATAAAGTAGTTAGCATTTTAATTTATTGACACTGTATTGATCATAAATTAGCACATAGTAAGTTGTTACCAGAAATAAATATTAACTAAAATGTCCAAAGCAAAGTGCAACAAACTAATCATAGTAAAATAATAATATACTTTTATCTCCATCATAGATTACTGATGAGAAGTAAAACTGTTTGAAGCACTTCTGTGGAATTCATCAATAAACTTGAAGATGTTTTAAAAATATACGGAGGACATTATTACATTACATTACACAGTCAGAAGTAGGCTACGTTAAAAACAATAATTTATTCTAATAATATGGTGCTTAGAAAATTAAATATTTTAGTCAATTAAACTTATTTTATGGCTACTGAAATATAATAAACTATACAACAAATGAAACAATTTCTCCATTTGAAATATATTAATACAAATTAACTTCTTTTTAACCGTTTGTAGGTTTTATATTATTGTATTGTGAATAAAACATTAATCGTATTGCAGTTGACTATTATTTCATAATACAAAAATATTATTATAATAACAGTAATAAGAGATAAAATAACGCTAAATAAATGTGTCCATTTAGTAAAATGTAAACGTTTTACAAAAATATATAGTGTATCTGAAAGAAAATACCTTAATTCAATACCGGTACACAGTATGTCAAATACACTTTGAACTAATTATACAATAAATGTTATGTAAATCACATCGATTATATCAACCTGTCCCTATTTGAAATAATATACGAGAATACTTAAAACCAAACTTATATAAGCATTTTATTTATTTTTTGGTACAACTAAAATCACATACATTTTGCTAAAATCTTAGGACCTGTGATTGAAATTAATTCTCTTTACTTTTAAAACTTAGAGCAACATTGAGAGATAGCTGCTAAATCCTTAAAAAGTGCAAAATTATTGAGTTTTAGTCATTATGGAAAATTATCAAGAGGATTTTGCTTTACAATAAAAACCGAACATATTAGATGTTGACCAGTTGTTAGTTTTTTTTAAAGACTTTTAGGCCGGGCATATACTTAGACCCAGGCAACACAATGCATGCAAGCCAAGTTTTGGGGTGCAAGAGCTGCAACTCATGAATGTTTGACCAGCACATGTTGTGGCGCAGCACATTAAAAACTCTTTTGAGACCACTATGGAAAAGTAAAAATTGGTTCAGTTATATTGTGTTTCAAAAAGTATAGTGAAAAGTGTGTATACATATTAAAACAAATGTTTGATTAATAAGATTTTACATCATAATACCAACCCCACCAAAACAAATCTGCAGACTTGGTAAATTTTCATTTGCCTGATGGATAAAAAAAATATATTTCCTAAGGAGTACTCAGGTTTGCACCGGAGTTGTGTGGCATGTGGCTATTTAAAAAAATGTAGCATGCTGGTCCATATTTGTGCCAGACACATACATGCATGCATGTCAGCTTACATGGTTCTGTAAGGATATATGTGGCATAGTTTTCTGTCTCGGCATACGCCTGGTCTTAAGGTTTAGTAGACTAGAAAAATTGAATAAGAGCAAAATATTATTTTTGAAATCACTATCATACAAGTAAAAAAGTCCACCCTTACATCTTATTTCCAAGCCTTACTGTAAAACCAGTCCAAAATTACCAAAATAACAATTAAAAAACAATATATAATTAACTATCTTGATGAATAATGGCCAACTATGAAAAGAATGTGGTTTTGATTATGAAATAGTTTACAAGTAAGCCATTCTCTTAAAAAGTAATGCGAGGATGTAGACTTGATGATTTATATCTCAGTACTGTTTGCGTACACTACTCCTTGCTTTTGCAGAACATTCAGTCTTTTCTCAACTGCTTCTTTATCTATAAAAAATATATGCATTTCACCTAACATTAAATGTTTTCAAACTAAAATAGTAAACTATACTGACTGGTGTATACAGGGTGGAAAAAAAGTCCTGGGACGGTTGAATATTTTAAAAAGTTATAAAGATTTTGCTCCAAAATTTGGTACACAGTTACTGGGCATTAAAATCATTTTAACACATTGTTCAGTGATACATTACCTCCTCAGGGGGACGGCCCGCTAGGAGTCTGAAGAAAATCTTAAATGTAAGCATAGATTGATATGCCCATCTAATTAAAGGCCTTTAGTAGTTGAATTCAACACCACAAATTTGAACTCAAATGGACAACCAAGTCAAAAATGTAAGATTTTTTTTAAATCTATCATTTTGAATCTTTGAACGGCTGCCATTTTTTACTCAGATGTTCTTTTGAGCTCAAATTTGCGGCATTATATTCTAATAATAAAGAACTTTAATTTAAGGTGCATATCGACCTATGCATTATGTTTATGATTTTCTTCCGACTTCTAACGGGCCGTCCCCCTGAGGTGGTAATGTATCACTGAATAATGTGTTAAAATTATTTAAATGCCCAGGAACTGTGTAACAAGTTTTGAAGCTTTTCCCACTCTATATATTATATTCTTAAATAAATATATATACAGTAGAGTCCCGATAGTCCGAAATGGTTGGGATCGGACCCATTTCGGATTAGCAAATATTTTGGATTAAACATTTTTTTTATATAAAAAAAAATTTTTTGTCTTAGGACGCTAGGCACGAGCCCGGGATTGTTTTTCACATTACTCTAGGCTAGACTTAGGGGCTGCAGCATTATCACTTAAATCAAATCCATTTGTGATTTGCGGGATTGGAACCCGGGACGAAAAAGAAAAAAATTTAATAAAAAAAAGGCAAAATATTTACTAAAAATACTCTATAAAACAAGTCTATCTCGCCCAGCCGCTACAGGATACTTTGACCAGGTACAGCTAACTGTGTTAAAAGTTTAATAAAAAAAATAATAATAATAAAAAAGTAAAAAATAAAATTTTTGGTTTCGGACTAAGCAGACTTTTAGATTACCGAAGATCGGATTATCGGGACTCCAATGTATATAAATATAAAAACTAGTACAATAAATTTTAAATGTTTTTTTTTTTAAAGTACTCCACAGTACTGTAAAATATAACTAAGAAGGAATACCAAGTAGTTACTGCAATTTTTTGTTTGAAAATCTATACGGGACTGTTTCCATGTAAAAATTAGTATATAGATTTCATGATAAACAACTTAACAGTATTAATAGTATGATTAAGGGCTTGCAAAAGAGCAGTTTTCTCTCAGTTTGAATCAACAACATGGTTTTATGTTTGTTTTGACCCTAACTGCTAGACTACAATTCACACACCATGTGAGTAATGATTGTTTATATTATTTGCCCTACATAGCATTGAGTATAAAATGTTTACTAAAATAAATAAAATGGCCACTAGGTTTAAAATGTTTAAGTAGGAATGCATTATTTCCACAGATATGTGCATTTATTCTAAATAATCAACAAAATAAATCTTCATAGCTTTACTCGGAGCGACAAAAAAACCTATACTTTTTTTCTATGTAGTTGGATGTAGGCCTACACCATAAATTTGCCACTTACTACTCGATCACTTGTTAGAACATGGCAGTTTGCTAATACTGTAGTAAATAGTGGGATTTGTTGATGCAAGTACCAACCCTACCCAAATTGCCCCAGTGTAGCTGGATAAAACTTACTTTGGGGATTTACTGTGATCAATAGGCAAAAGATAATTGTTGGAGGATCAGCAAGTTAAAATAAAGAATACCTTATTATTGCATGTGTATGAAACACTTACACTTGGTGAGGAGTGCCCTGTCTTGCTGGTAAGTCACTGTCTGGGCTAGAGAGTGCAGCAGTATATGTGCTGTCTGGTAACGCTGGAAACACTCTGTAGAGTTGTCAAACAATTCATCCAGAGCTGCTGAGCGACACTGACAAACATAACAATCACATTACTTCACTTGTCAAAACGACGACAGTAATGTCTATTTTCTTATTATGTTGTTTTTTATGGTTTTGTTATATTATATATTTTAAATTTTCATACCATGTTGGATTATCCATTATCTGTGGTCTCCCACCTCACAAGTACCTCAGATAATTGAAGTTCTATTGTACTTAAATTATTTTGGCTTATCTAAACATTCAGCTGATCCAAACAGCATTCGGTCCCAATTAGTTACGATTTCCTGGACTTTGTGTATTTAAACCTTTTTAACCAAATTCGATGTCTTAAAACGTTCCAAATAGTTAGCAGATCCAACAAATTAAGATACAAATCTTGGTTGGTGACTTGGTTATTTTATGGTTGCCTGTTGTATTAAAAAATCACATTAAACAATAAAATAAAATAAAATTAAGTAGTTAAAATAAATGAAAAATTATTAATTAATTTTAACCTATAGATTTGAAATCAATAGATTATCCTTCATTATGATACATATTTCCTTCCAAATCCATAGGCCTAATCACCAAATAAAAAAGTTTTAAATTTATTTTTAACTAACTAAGGTAAATTGCTGAGATTAAGTTTTTAACTTACCTTCACCAGCACTTCAATGACTCGATGGTGTTTTAATAACCTGTTTTAATAAAACTTACCATAGATATAGCGTGGTTGTATAGTATTTTGTCAGCTGTAGCACTGGCATTTTGTATCAGGCCTGGAGAGTTGGCATTTAGAAGTTTGCACTCGTTGAGACATTTGCGAAATTTGGCATTCATGTTTGAAACAACTGAAATAAATTCAAAATTTTAGACAGCAGACAATTTGAATGTAAAGCCTAAAGTTTAAATTCACACACATCAGTCCAGTCACAGTTCAGTCTCAGTTACACCCAGCGAACACAGAATAGAAATTGTTGCGTACTAGTTCATCACTTTTCCATACTTTTATTACAAATTGATTTCAATATATTATAATTTTATTTCCTCTTTGTTCTAAATACAATTTCCTATTTTACTTTCCCATCCCAATTTCTTGACAGCTGAAAGTTATTTAATTTAATGTTTATTTACATCATATTTTTGATTATTATAAAAAAAACATTGTATTTCTATCTTCAGTACAACCACTACATATCATTTTTATTCTCAATTCTATTTTATAACTCACATACAATTTTCATGGGATTTAAGCAAATATTAATCATTTTAATTTCAACTACATTATACAATCCGTATTGTGAACATCATTGTTAAATTCTACAAGAAAGAAAGACATTTTTAAAAAGTGATATTTCAATCATCAAGACATGAATGGACTTGAACTTAAACACCTCAAGAAACCATGAATCCATCAAGACGGTTCCACCAATGAATTTGAATATAATGATTGACATTTTTGGTGAGTTTCATCAATATTAAGTTTTTTTTTTTGACAAATTATTTTTCAGAAATTGAACAACATTGTATATTAAACTGAAAACTTGTCTTGTTACTTTTTTTAATAATTATTTATGTAAAATATTTAGCTGACAAATCCCAACAATATCAATTTTGAATTGTTTCACTCCTTTGCCTAATTTAGGCTGGTCCTTTGATTTATTTCCTTTATTATTTTTCTTATTTTCAACTATCTTTCCCCCACAGAAATAGAAGGGCCATGCACTATATACAACCATTACTGGTAATGTCGACAGTTCCGCCATCTTTGTTGCAGCATTAAGTTGAAAAAAGCGCTCCAAAAACGGAGAATTTTGACGTCCGCGCTTTGCTGTTTGACATACTTAGAGTCGAGATAAAATTATGAAAACCTGCATAAACAAACTAAATGAAATGGGAATGCTTGGGATATCACCCAAAAGTATGTTCTATTTGTTGTTTAGTTTTCGAATTAATCTAAACATGACTTGTAAACAACTTTTAAATCATGACATGAAAAAATTAGTTGCCTACTACTTTTTTGTGTTTTTTAATTAGGTAAGATTACAAAGAGCTCAATTAAAATTAAAGAGATGACACATCCAACACTTATTTTTTTGAAACAGCTGTTATAGTTAAGCTTGTGCAGCAGTTAAAATTCACATTTGCACTGAAAACAATGTGTTAAGTATTATTGCTTGGGCTGCATAACCTGTGCGATTCCTACCAAGTCAGCTGATTCATGCCAGAGCCGATAACAATTTTAGATTATTAGTAAAGAAATCATTAAAAATAATATTTATAATGTTCTATATACAATGGACAAAACTCTTATAGGTAGGCCTGAAAGGGAATTGAAAAGATATAATAAGAAAAAATCCATACTCAAATATAAACATTGCATTTTATCTGGACAAATTAAAACATTTTAACTCATTAAAATAATGGTGCTTTCTTTTCTTTTAAAATACTTTGTCTCAATGCTGTTACTGCGGCTTGTAAAATGTAATAGGCCTATTTTAATTTTCCTCTTCTGTCTGCCTTGTACTGTATCAGATTACTTTTTTGCACAAGTTATTTCTTATTATTTATCCTTATACGCCTTGCAAGTTGTAGGCATAGTCATTAGTCAATCTTCAACTCAAATAAATTCCATTAAAGACAGTGTGTTACAGTTTAAAACAAAGTAAATATCCAATAGTCACAGGATTCTATGTAATGACAGTAAATGACAGCAACGCGATAAACGCATCAGGCTGACCACGTCGCCAGAGATATCCGTAGAGTGTGGACTGAGTGAGGTAGTGGGGAACAGCTCGACGGTCCCTACTAGGATGACTCAGTAGCGGAAGACACCATCTTGGTTACGGCACCGCTCTCCGAGTAGCGACAGCTTTAGTTTACAACAGCCCTTTTATTTCTATTCTTTGTTTGCTGGTTACACCCGAAATTCGTCAGTCAACTGTCCGTCAGTTGGTTTCAGTCAGTCTTCCGAGACTTTATTTACAGTGAAGAATTTTTTAATTAAAACACAAAATCCTATCAATTTTTCATCATCTATCTTATTGTTACAAACCGTACTTAAAATAATAAACACTATTATTAAAATAACAAAATCACAATTTTTTAAAATGTCAAACACATACATCACACGATTGTCAGCATTGTCAGCATCCATCTGGCGTCCGAACGATCCAAAAATATCGGAGGAAGGAAATATGTAATTGACTGACGGACCTGCCCTGGATGAGTGAAGATAGCGCAGTATAAAATCCATTAAAGAATAAATCTTTTGACTGTGACGTGACTGATATGACTAAACTGTGACGTGCCGGAACGGATGTGTATGAATCGATCTTAAATGTGCATAAACAACAGAAAATATGAGTATTGATTTAAACTCACTCCATTTTATGTTTGTTTCATTGGTGCTCGCACTATTAAGACCTCATCTTTATTTAGGACTATACGAATGTAAATTATTAAAAAGTTATGTGAGTTGGAATTCCGCTTGATCTTTCAGAGCCTTCTGTATACAGAATAAAATTGATTCAAAACATTTGATTTAACTAAATTTAAGTATTTTCACTAAAGTGTGAATATGATCAAATATATTTTTTTTTTCTAATCCATGAACCGTATCTGGACTGGGCTACATAAAGAAAGGGACAACAGAGAAAAGGAAGAACCTTTCTTGACGCTGGGGCTTGGCTGCAGTGTCTTCTCTCTCAGCTTAGTGGTTGCCAGGTTGAGTCCTGAGTGTAGCAATTGTAATGCTCTATACAGCAACACCAGACACTCAGCCCTGGATCTGCCTGTAGCTACGTCACAGATACACTCTGACACTGCAAGCACAAAGTTGAGCTTGGCCAATGTCTCATTGTGCTCCTTCTGTACAACCAAACAAGAACACACATTGAAGTGATATGGCCATATTATAAAGTAGTTTTAAACAGATTTGAGAATACTACTTTACTTAAGCTTAATGTTTTTATAAGTAGTATGCTTTAGCTAGTTACTAGAAAGAGCCCCAGCTTTCTTTAGGGGAAGAGTTGTTACAATAGAACTCCAATCATCCAAACTCCAACTATTCGAATTGCCAAATATCAGAAATAATTTCAAAATTTCAAACCACAGTAATGAGAATCGTTAATAAAGAAGGCAGAAATCGTGATCAGGGCAAAATCCTAATCCTGTCTCGCGATAGTGTTGATGCCATCTATGTCTCCCGCGGTCACAGAATCATCGTCATCAATTTTCGCGACCGCGGCAAATGCTAAATACATCCACAGTCATGTAGACCATCATCGTCTCCCTCTGTCACGGTAAGATCGTCATCGTTTTTAATTTTCACGATCGCGGCAAAATGATAAATATCCCCCCAGTTAGTTTGACACCATCATCATTTCCCGCGGTCACAGAAAATCATAATCGTACTCCGCAATGGAAAGCTTACATTTTCCAATTGCAAAATCGTCACAGATACGTTCTGCGATCGCAATAGTAAAAGCTCGGCATGACTCGTCCTATTTTCTTTAAAAATCCAATAATCAGAATTTTCGACTATACAAATGGGGTCGGTTCTCAATTGATTCAGATATTTGGAGTTCTACTGTAATACTACAGTTAACATGTATAATTTCAAACTTGGAAAAAATAAGTTTTCTCTTCTTAAAAATTGCAAACAATAAAGAGCCGATTGCAATATTTATTTTGCTAAAAAAACTACAAATTGACAATTGACAACTGACTTTAAAAAACAATCCATCTCCAATAAATAATGTACTGTTGCTCATTTATACTAAAAAGAGACAGCATAATGTATTCATAGGTACCTAAACACTTCAGCATAAATTGTGTAATCAATATTTTAGTATAGCTATGCCTCAACAACGTAAAATATAAAAGTATCAGTTTTATTAATTGTATTAAATTAAATGTATTACTACGCACAATTTCTATCGATAACATAGTAGCTATATCTTACTTCAAGCAGTGTTTCAGGTGGCAGTTCAGGGACAACAAAAGGTGTGGGAGCATCCAAGTGACCCAAATCTGTAACATTATTGACAGAAAAGACTCAGAAAACAAAATTATAATTGAGTAAAAAAATAAACAAAAAATAATACCAGTAGGATAAAAGTATTGTGAGGGTAGGCAACTAATACAATAAAAATATCAAGCTCCTCCAAGCTGGGGAAACAAACCATACATTTGAATGCTACAAATCAATTTCTTGTGTTCTACACCGATACCTAGGCGCTGTCACTCCTAAAGACTAAGATATATGTTTTAGCAGTACTCACAGACCTAGTCTCACCCGATTGGCAATAACCGCCAATCACAAATGTCAAATGACTATCTATACAGGGTGTCCAGTAAGTAAACAGCCAAACTCTGGGAAATGGTTCTATGGGTCAAAATAAAAAGAAAATCAAGAATAAAATTTTTTCCAAAATCGCTTCGTTAAACAGATATCCGCCATTTTGTATTTTTTTCATAAACATTTTTATTTTTGGATTTTTTCAACCAAAATTTATAAAACTTGATATGTAGGTTAAGGTAGAATAGCCCCATGTTAGAAAAAAATCATCTTGATTCAACTTACAATTTCATAATGGCGGCCATTTTAATTTTTTAAACTTAAATTACTCAAAGATTGCTAATTTTATGAAAAAATGCCAAGAACACTTTTATTTAGCATTTTTAATTCCCTATCAAACGATACCAAGTTCAAAAAGATTGAATAGGAAATAGCTGAAATATTACGATTTTTAGTTGTAAAATAGGGTAGAATAAGGCAGAAGCTAGTCAGGTTTGCCCCATTTTACAACTAAAAATCGTAATATTTCAGCTATTTCTTATTCGATCTTTTTGAACTTGGTATCGTTTGATAGGGAATTAAAAATGCTAAATAAAAGTGTTCTTGGCATTTTTTGAGTAATTTAAGTTCAAAAAATTAAAATGGCCGCCATTTTGAAATTGTAAGTTGAATCAAGGTGATTTTTTTTTTATAACATGGGGCTCTTTAACCTTAACCTACATACCAAGTTTTATAAGGATCGGTTGAAAAGATAAAAAATAAAAATGTTTATGTAAAAAATACAAAATGGCGGATATCTGGTTAACAAAGCGATTTTGGAAAAAATGTTATTCTTGATTTTCTCTTTATTTTAACCCATAGAGCTTCGGTTGATGATGATCCGATGATGATCACTACCGAAGCTCAATGATGCAGAAATCATTTAGATATAATTACATATGATCTCACAACAACAAAAACAAATGAAATATTTGCCAGACTAACTAACCTCAATCTTTGTTGACCAACAAGTTGAGTTTTGGTGTGATTTTACTTTATCAGTTTACATCGTGATAATATGTTGTTAATCTGTAAATGTTTAGTTTGGACATTTTATTATGCTTTGGCCCTTGACTGAAATGTAACATTAATTTTAGAAACTTTAGGCACTATCTTTAGCCGGTTTATAAGAACATTATTGACTGTTTACAACAACAAATATCGCGGCTGTGACTGTGACTTTATCACTTTGAATCATATTAGTTGTCAATTTTTACATATTTAGTTTGCAAACTGTTTCTTGTTCGTAGACTTACTAAATGTGAGGTTTGAGACTTTACATTTAGCCCGTTTTTAAACATGCGTCTCAGAAACAATGCCCACCTGGAGTTCTTGGGAGCTGGTCATGCTGTCTTCAAAAGAAATTCATCTTTTAGTGTTGGGAGCCTTGCATGCAGTGAGTCAACGGAATAGTGTTGCACCTTGTGTTCTTATTTATGATCATGCTTGGTTAAATTAGCCATTATCTCTCGTTCGAGTTGACCCTGTTCTTGTGATGCTAGCTTTCTTGTTTTGGTCAGAGTCTACTTGTTACTATTGTATGCACTATTTATTTGTATTATTATTATGTTTTGTTTATTATGTTTTGTATGCATCTTGTGTCTTATATCAGTGCTTTGCACGTTAACCACCAGTACATTCCTTGTAATGCTAGATTCTTTCTTCTTTTTTTTTGTTTGTTTAGAGTCAGATGTTTACTCACTATTGTATGCACTATTTAGTAGTATTATTATTATTCGTTGTGTCATTTTAGTTGTACGTCTTATATCAGTTGTATGTCTTTTGCACGTTAACTGCTCACCTTTGTTCACTTTATTGTATCTAAATTATATACAGCCGCTTGTGTAACTGACTCACTGGGGGATACAAATTCTAGACCACTTCTAGAAGTGCTAGGGAGTTGAAATTTGGCACGATTGTCAGTCTTGGTACCAAAACCCCGGGAAAATTCTCAAAAGTTGCATTTTTTTATTTTAACCCCCCCTTATTCAAGAATTTCCCCCCCAATGCTATTCTTATGGGAAATAACATTGAAAAATGCCGACTTTGGTATGCTCATCTGAACAACTTAGAAACGTGCTAGTGACTTCAAATTTGCGTAGTATTGTAGTAAGAGACCTTAAATTACCGGTGGAATATGCAAAAGTCCCATTTTCAAATTTTAACCCACCCAAAAATCCAAAATGGCGGACCTCTGAAAACGAAAAAACACATTTTTTTTAACCGGATGTAGCTCGAAAACGGTAAGAGCTAGAAAAGATTTGAAAGTATATCCAGGAACAGGAATTAAATTTTATACAAAACCCTCTTCGGCGTTTTTCAGAAATCGGACTCCTTCAGCTTCAAAAAACGGCCTACTTTCAAAATTTTGTAAATTTCATTCACATTTTTTACGGTTTTCGCTATTTTTTCATATTTAAATAATTTCTTTTTGCAGATATTATTAATGCTCTGTATTCTTCTTACTTTACTTTATATTTTACTCTTTTATATTTTTTTGTATCTTTACTCCTTAACCCCCAAAACTTAGGTTTAATGTCAAAATTTAAAGGTTTTTTACAACTATTACAAGCCCCATGTTATTCTTATGGAGAATAACATTGAAAAATGCCGACTTTAGTATGCTCATCTGAACCACTTAGAAACGTGCTAGAGACTTGAAACTTGGTAGTATTGTAGTATGGGATCTTACATTACCGGTGAAACTCCCAAAAGTCCCATTTTCAAATTTTAACCCCCCCAAAAATCCAAAATGGCGGACCTCTGAAAACGAAAAAACACTTTTTTTTTCAACCGGATGTAGCTTGAAAACGGTAAGAGCTAAAAAAGATTTGAAAGGATCTTAGCGAAAGGAAATTAAATTTTCTACAAAACCCTTTTATGCGTTTTCCGGAAATCGCACTCCTTAAGCTTCAAAAAACGCCCTACTTTCAAAATTTAGTAAATTTTTTTGGAATTTTTTACGGTTTTCGCTATTTTTTCATACTTAAATAATTCTTTTTTGCATATATTATTAGTGCTCTGTGTTCCCCTTAATTTAATTTAAATTTTACTCTTTAATGTTTTTTTGTATCCTTACTCCTTAACCCCCAAAACTTAGGTTTAATGTCAAAATTTAAAGGTTTTTTACCACTTTTACAAGCCCCATGTTATTCTTATGGAGAATAACATTGAAAATGGTAGACTTTGGCGCGCTCATCTGAACCGTTTAGAAACGTGCTAGAGACTTGAAACTTGGTATTATTGTAGTAGGGGATCTTATATTAATGATGAAATTTGCAAAATTCCCATTTTCAAATTTTAACCCCGCCAAAAATCCAAAATGGCGGACCTCTGAAAACGATAAAACAAGTTTTTTTCAAACGGATATAGCTCGAAAACAGTAAGAGCTAGAACAGATTTGAAAGGATCTTTGCGAAAGGAAATTAAATTTTCTACTGAACCCTATAAGCGTTTTCCAAAAATCGCACTCCTTAAGCTTTAAAAAACGCCCTAATTTTAAAATTTTGTAAATTTTTTTAAAATTTGTACCGGTTTTCGCTATTTTTTTATACTTAAATAATTCCTTTTTGCAAATATTATTATTGCTTTGTGTTCTCCTTACTTTACTTTAAATTTTACACATTACATGTTATTTCGTAACTTTACTCCTTGACCCAAAATACTTAAGTTTTTACCACTTTTACGAGCCCCATATTATTCTTATGCAGAGTAAGATTGAAATTTGATGACTTTGGTATGGTCAAATGAATCGTTTAGAAATGTGCTAGAGACTTGAAATTTGTTAGTATTCTAGTAATGGATCCTAAGTTAATGGTAAAATTTGCAAAAGTCCAATTTTTAAATTTTAACACACCCAAAAATCTAAAATGGCAGACCTCTGAAAACGACAAAACACGTTTTTTTTTCAATCGGCTATAGTTCGAAAACTGTAAGAGCTAGAAAAGATTTGAAAGATTTTTCATGAACAGGAATTAAATTTTCTACAAAACCTTTAAGCGTTACCCGAAAATCGCACTCCTTCAGCTTCAAAAAACGCCCTACTTTCAAAATTTGGTAAATTTCCATAAAATTTTTACCGGTTTTCGCAATTTTTTTATACTTGAATAATTTATTTTTGCAAATATTATTGCTTTTCCCTTACTTTGCTTTAAATTTTACTATTACATTTTTTTTCGTAACTTTACTCCTTGACCCCCAAAACTACGAGCCCAATGTTATTATTATGGAGAATAACATTGAAATTTAATGACTTTGTTATGGTCATCAGAATCGTTTAGAATCGTAACTTGTAATTTGGCAGTATTGTAGTATGGGATACTAAGTTAAGGGTGAAATTTGCAAAAGTCACATTTTAAAATTTTTAAATTTGCAAAAGTCACATTTTAAAATTTTTAACTCCCCAAAAATCCAAAATGGCGGATATCTAAAGACGATATAACACGTTTTTACGGCTGTAACTAAAAAGCAATAGGAGCTAGCCAAGATTTGAATGGATTTTTCATGTTCAGGAATTTAATTTTCTACAAAACCCTTACACGTGTTTTCCGAAAATTTCTCCCCTTCACCCCAAAAAAAAACGTCCTACTTTCAGAAATTGGTATTTTTCAAATTTTTACCGGTTTTCGCTATTTTTACATACTTAAATAATCACTTTTTGCAAATGTTATTAATGCTTTGTATTTTCCTTGGC